TTGTATGAATGATGCTATTGTCTGTATTTATTTTTCTACAATGTTAGCTGTGCTTTATTGGCGATTTGCTGTTTAGTTGGGCTGTCCCAATTGGCTGATTATTGGTGGGTCTATTTAAGGGGCACACTCCCAATGGCTTAGGGGGCTGCTTGGAGAGACTGCTTTTGAAGGTCTGCTTAGAGAGACTATATTTAAAGTCAGCTTGCTTTGAGGCTGTCAGTGTTTTGTATTGCCTGCAATGGCCAGTTTTGTTTTCTTTATTTGAAAGTATTTTGTTTGTTTTGTTTTTTTTTGTCTTCACCGTTGCACCAGTAAATAAACCGCTACACGCTTTTGAACTGGAATTTTGTTGTCCGCGGGTTCTTACCACCTTTTTGCAAGTCATCTGCTTACTCCTCCTCTGACGTGAGATGGGAGCTGGCGAGCCGTTTTCTCACAAATACCAAATTCAGTCTAATTGGATGGGAATCTACGTTGCAATTGACGCACCACTACAAGATGAATCAACAGATTCGGCGGTATTCATTCGCGGCAAATCATTGCAGCTTGGTGGCGGTGGCGTTAGCATAGTAGCATGGACGACGAGATGATTGAAAATGAACACAACAGAGATCTAGTCCTATTGGCAGACATCCATTTAAAATGTAGGCAACGGCATGAAAAAAGTGGTTTCTACTTTTACTTTTATACTTTAAGTTAATTTACAAGCCTGTACTTTGTTACTTTTACTTGAGTAAAGAAGTTTAATCAGTACTTCCACTTTTACCAGAGTATTTTTTAACACAAGTATCTGTACTTTTACTCAAGTACGGAAAGTGAGTACTTTTGCCATCTCTGTATATAGGGGTGGAATGGTTCACAAAATCCACGGTTCGGTTCGGTTCACGGTTTCATGGTCACGGTTTTCGGTTCGGTATATGTTTATTGTTACACCGAAAAATAAAAAAAAATTATAAAAAATAAAGATTAATGAACATTTTTTTCTTTATGAAATTAATGAAAAAATCCCCAAAAATTTATGAATTGTAATTATTTTTAATGATTCGCGGAAACCCTGGATCATTTCCGCATGTTTTGCTGCTTTGAATTTAATCATCTGGTGCATGCCCTCTACGATCTCCAAGGAACTCAGAGCGGAGCGGACGGGAGGCTGTAGGCTTTGCTTTGAGCAGGCGGTCTGGAGGCAGCGGGGCGGAGCGCTGACGGAGTATGAGGGATTTCGGAGTTAGCATGACATGTTGGTCATGTTGCTGTTAGCATAAACAAAACCTGTTGCACAATGCTTGCACACTCTTGCACTTTTATCCACAACTTTCTTTGCGCCGTCATCGTAGGTCACTCTAAATGCAAAGTGGTCCCATACAGCAGACCTATAAAGTGCTGCTGGCGCGTCTTCCAACTCCTGTTCTTTCCCACTCGCCATACCCACACAATTCTCCACAACAACTGATTTTTTTCTGCTACACCCGGCTACGCTGCTTTGCTTCTTCTTCTTCTTGTTTACTACTGGTGGTTGGCTTTGGTCGCAGTACCGCCACCTTCTGCTCTGGAGTGTAAATGCTTCGCCTATGAGAAAAAGGAGCAGCGCATGAACCGAACGCAACACACGCGAACCGAACCGAGACAGTCGAACCGAACGGTTCGGACGGTTTTCATGAACCGTTCCATCCCTAATATATATATGTATATATATATGCATATGTATAACCATCAATCCAAATAAAGTGATAGTGACGTGCAAAAACAGTGCAAGGAATAAGTAAATGTCAGTTACAGAGGGAGTGGGGGGGTCTGAATCACTTGAGGGAGGCGTTATAGAGATTACGACCACAGCCAGGAATGATTTCCTGTGGTGCTCTGTGGAAAGGAGTCTTCTGCTGAAGGAGCTCATCTGCTGGACCAGTGTGTCATGGAGAGGATGTGAGTCATTATCTAAGATTGACTGAAGCCTGGACAGCATCCTCCTCTCTGCCACATCACCAGATTAAACATTGATCAGTTTGTTCAGTCTGTTGTTGTCAGCCACCCTCAGCCCACTGCCCCAGCATTTGACAACAAATAAGAACATCCTAGCAACAACTGACTCATAAAACATCCTCAGCATCGTCCCACAGATGTTAAAGGACCTCAGGCTCCTCGGGAAAAAGAGTCGGCTTTGGCCCTTTTTGTAGACCGCCTCAGTGTTTCTAGTCCAGTCTAACTTATTGTTAAAGTAAACTCCCAGGTACTTATACTCGTGTCAACAGGAACCTCCTGGATGGAAACGGGGGTTACAGGTGTTTTTTGGTTCTGGGACATTTATTTTCATGAAGAATTAATCAAATAGTGTTTAATTGAGTTGAGCACAATTGAACAAACAGAGTTGTCACTTAAAGGGGAACGCTGTTTTTTTTTTTTTTATATTGGGCCCTTGATTCTACGTTATTGCATCATGTTCTACTCACCCATACGACTTTTGTGTCATTTGGAGCCGTTCTAAAGATATTCCGTTAGGTCAGGGGTCACCAACCTTTTTAAGGCTGAGGGCCACTTCAAGGGTACCGAGACGTAGGAAGGGCGACCATTACTGACCCATGAGCTGCAAGGGTTAGCGTTAGCCTAAACTTTGTTCATTATCAAAATATTTTTATTGTTTCTGTTGATTTCTACATTTATTTAGACATTGTCATTTTGAAATCGATATAAAAGATTAAAAAGGAGAGCAACAGAATAAAATAAAATTTCAAACTTGGCCCACTGGTGGGTTGTTCTTTATTTAGAAGACTCTGAGGGCCCCCCATGTGACAACTTGAAGGCACAAACTATACTGTTCATCATTTATTCTTTATGGTTCGTCAGCATCCATAACATGTAGGCCAATCACTGTCCCCCAGACATCCGCCGTTAGATTTTTATATTTATATTTTTTTTTAAAACAAAGCAGAATGTGTATGATATCATCCGCGCGCCGGACTGGAGTAGTGACAGGCGGCGCTCTACCCCTTCTAGTCATTCTAGCTAATCTGAATCATTCATTTGGAGCAGGGGTCTGCAACCTTTCATATCTAAAGAGCCATTTAGCCCCGAATCCGACCAAGTAAAAGTTGTTTAGGGCCGAAAAATATAACCTGTGTGAAAAAAATTTTAATATCTCATATGGGATATTAGTTGCCAACAAATTATGTATTTTTAGCTTTTAAAATAATATTGAACACATAAATTCCAAGCTAATTCAAAGACAAATGCTTCTAAAAACATACTTCTGGTTCTTTTAATGTCATTCTTTTCCATCTTGTGTTTAAGAAAAAATTTAAGAATAGTACATTATTTAGCTCTTTATTTACATTTTAGCCACTATTAAGAGCCGCTGTAGGGGGTCCAAAGAGCCGTATGTGGCTCTGGGGCCGCAGGTTGCAGACCCCTGATTTGGAGAGTGAGATCATCAGTGGTTGCAGCACTAGACGTCTTACAGGCATGTGAGGAAAACTAGCAGCAGTTCAGCGGACAGGAAGAATGAACGGTAGCCGGCGCACGCGGATGATGTCATACACACTCTGCTTTGTTTTTAAAAGATATAAATACAAAAAATATAACGGGGGATGTCTGGGGGACAGTGATTGGCCTCCATGTTCTGAATGCTGGCGTAAAGAATAAATTATTAACAGTTTAGTTTGTGCCTTCAAGTCGTAGGAAGACGTTACTTGGATATAACCTAACGGAATATCTTCAGAACGGCTCCAAATGACACAAAACTCATATGGGTGAGTAGAACATGATGGAATAACTTAAAATCAAGGGGTCAATGTAAAAAAAAAAGGCGTTTCTCTTTAAGTTAATGAAAATAACCTTTAAAGGAATAGTACACCCAAAACATGATTAGCCTTCATTTTCTACTCACCCGGCTTCCGTAGCGTTCACGACGCTACGGAAGCCGGCAGACCAAACCAGATGAAAGTGCGCATTCAGCGTCCGCTACGGAAGCCGGCAGACCAAACCAGATGAAAGTGCGCATTCAGCGTCTGCTCTGCCGATAATGCAAGCGTAGAAGAAGAAATGTGCTGTTTACCTGTGCAAAGAAAGAAACAACGAAAGAAAAATGTCTGAGGACTTCAGTGTTGAGGAAGAGCATGAGTTCTTTGCCGAGCTGAATGCGATGGTTTGGTCTGCCGGCTTCCGTAGCGTCGTGAACGCGCATGTGCGCGCTTTCAGGAAATCCTATACACTACTGTTTATGCACTAAAAACATTCTAAATGACTTCGTTTCGAGTAAATTCTGGATGCTACCCACTCAGGACACTTGGAATACATTGGACGAGCAGTATGGAGGAATATTGACACGTTTTTTGTGGACTTTTATGGACCTTTCTGCCTCGGGCGCCATAGACCTCCATTATTTGAATGTCAGCAGACAGCAAGAAGCCTCCCAGATCTCCAGATGCATTTGAGATATCAAAAAAGTACTCCAGAGTGTTGTTCAGCATGGGGGTGAGTAGAAAATGAAGGCTTATCGTGTTTTGGGTGTACTATTCCTTTAAGTTCATAAAAACAAGCCAATTAAATAAGAGTTATTTCAATGGGATCTTTAGCTAAAATGAAATACTGGTTCCTGGAGTGTGGCAGCCTAATTCCAAGGAAGTATCTGCTATATTGGGATTGAAGTTTTTTTCTTGCAGGAAAGTAACTGTAACATAATAGTTTGCCTGTAAGGATATAGAACAGCTGAGCAGAGGAGCTGAGGGAGGGAGGCTAAATCAAAAACGGTTACAGATAGGAAGGTTGACTTGGACGGAAACACACAGAGGAAAGAGTATTAAGAATCTGAAAACAAAGGAATAAAATCGATATGGAAAGATTTTATTGACAATAATCAAGAGCTGAATATGGCAAGACTTTAGAGACAATAAGGAACAACGTTCAGAAAAAAAAAACAGAAGAAGATCAAAGCACAACCACCCAGTCAAAAGCAGGAATTCTACAGAATCCAGTTGAACCAACCCCTGTGTGTGACGGCGCAGACCTACCGACTGCACGGCGTCCATCTCCTCCCCAACGTTGCGCTCCGCTCCTTTAGGATCGACGGTTCTCTCTGTGAAACTAGCGCCGGTTGTGTAACCTCTGCTGCCTTTCGGATCCTCATCTGCCACTAAAACTAAAACTTCCTCTGGGTCACTTCCTCCTCCCACTTCCCCTCATCCCTCCCAGCTTACGTCATGAAGTCACACTCAGGTGTTTCAGCAACATTCCACCGGATCAGAGGAAATCAGTGCATTTAATGAACAACCCGAACATTCAATGTGCTTTTAAGCTCAGATCAACGACTAAAGAAGCTGATATTCTCTAATAAAACAACACAAGTAGTGCAAATCTCCATACTTGATACATAGAAACTCCTTCATTTAAATCAAATGATTCTTAAATACAAATTTGTGCTTTTCTTAAACCAAGAGTTCAGATGGTTTCCAGTCTTTACCCATCATCGGCTCATTCAGCCATGAGTGATTGTTTCAAAACATTTTCAGTGATTAAACTTTGATTTATTCACACTTTAAGGAAAAGTCCGGTCAGCAAGGGGTAATCAATGGATCATTATTTATACCTAAAACTAATAAGTTCATGATGATTTAATGAATTTAGCGTTAATCAGTTGAAAAAAATTTATATCATCGCAATCACTGACTCTGGGAGCGGCCATTTTTGCCCAAATATAGTAAAGGGTAGATTCGACTTCTGCAACAACACACATCAAATATCGCTTGGTTCTGGTCGCGAACCAGTTTTGCTGGTATGCTTCTGCACCGTCGGTCAGGAATTTCTAGGGACGAACAGCAGTTTCCAGCCAAAGCGCAAGAGGGAGCCTATTGGAGAACTCGCAAACTTTGGCGGTGCCAGCGGGAGTGTTTACTTTCCATAACAATGGCGTGTCTGCAAGATATCACGGTCACTGATGTGGGTCTAGAGTTGCTAGACATCGAAGAGTAACAGGTTCTGTTAATGGAGTTGGCAAAAAGACAAAGTAGGACGCGTAGGTTTTCCATTGTAGTTAATCCTTGGGCCGTTTCTCAATATGCGTTCTTGAGCGTTCTCGTGTACTCGTGACACGTCATCAGCCTCAGCCCGAGTACCGTTCCAATTCTCGAGAACGCCAGATCGAGAACGCATCAAATCCCCGGATGTTGTTCTCGCCCCGCCCTCTTTATCGAGCCTGCATCAGGGCAGACTTGTGCGTTCTTCAGACTGACCGCTTCCCCAGAATGCCCCGCGGCCGCAGCTTGATTTGAGACAGCGCTCACAGTGTTAAGTTAAACATTCCCTGTTCTGCTGCTGTTGTTCTTCAAAAGTACGTTTTGAAATCGTTTGAGGCGATAACATTATACATTTAAGCCTCCCTGTGTGGCCTGTTTACAGAGTTAGTGCGAAATTTAAAAAAAAAGGTCCGACGTTGAGCGGACCAGAGTGACCAGCAGACCTCCGAGAGTAACCGCAGCCAGGGCTAATGTTACCCCGTCTGTTTTTTGCTCTAATTCGGCCAAACGTCCGTTTGTTTTGTGTTTATCTGACTGCCTTGTGCTGCTTTATTAACTCAATACTTGCTGGAATAAATTGTAAATGTAGGGAATAAATAGTTTTGACTGTTAAAGAAATGCTAAAGAACGTTGCATGTGATGACGTCACAAGTACGCTTCTGTTCCAATACACATACGTGCTTGCGTGCTCGCGTTCTCGTCAAGAACGGACTTCAAGAGAACGCGAGTACGTACTCGTGTTTTGTGAATTGAGAAACGGCCTTGGTTTTAAATATGGCGAGCCCCGGCACCGAATCGAGAAGGACGACCACACAGACAGCCGGAAAGGCATACCAAGGACCAATCACAGCTGCTTTATGTCTTCGCGAGTTTGTGACCGTCCGACGTGTAGTCAGGATTGTTTTGAGGTGCGCAATGACGGTTGCAGAACCTCTGCATGGGGGCCGTGGTAGAGACAGATTTGACGGTTACAGAGGCTATGCATCAGAAGCATAAATTGGCCTTAACTCCTCCCTCCTGCCATCTTCCGGAAGTGACGTCACGGTGCGGTTAGCCTAGCGTCATTCTCCCCGCTTTACAAGCAAAATCAATGGGAACTACTAGACACATCTGCAATCAACAACAATTATTGAAGATTTCCAGAGGACTTCACCATTGAAATTCACCAGAGCTATAGTGAAACTGACAATGCCCACGTGCATGGCAGCTGGATGCTGGAATACATCGGGTAAAAGTGAAACAAAGAGTTATTCCACCTTTCTGATTCCTGATCCTCCACGGACGGGTTGGTCGTTGGATCGCCAACTTGAAGAGGGAGGATTTGCCATCGAACTTCTGGCCAGGGAAAAAACACGTAATATGTAGCCAACATTTGGAAGAAGAATGTTTTCAAGATGACTTGGATAATAGCGCGTTGTGACAAACACCAGATACAGCACTGGGACTTGATCAACAGCCGATACCGCACCGTGACGTCACTAACCAGTAGGTGGCAGTAGTGTTCTTTGACAAACATGGATGCCTCCAGTAAAGCACATTCACATGGAAATTACTCTGAATTAAAAACACTTATTTATTGAACAGGATGGAATAATTTCATATTTAAAGTACTTTCAGAAGTTTTAATTCTAAATTTGACCGGACTTTTCCTTTAAACCTACTATAGTTCAGCTGTATTCATTTGGTGCATTTTTAGGATATTTTGGATGATCATTTATCCTAAATTGAGATGATTTTAGTGCATTATTTTTTTTATTTATCATTTTGCTTCCTTTCTTTTCCTTTAAATAACTTATTCAGCTTTTTTCTACAATAATTAATTAAACCCTTTTTCTTTCGGGTTTCTGCAGAATCCACTCTGCTCTCTTCATTTCTGAGCTTTTCTTCTTGTTTCTTATCGCGGGGTTCTGAGTGACTTCGTCCTCTATGAGGCGCGCTCCAACCAGCAGCTCCTGCAGCATCCAGTCCATCATCCTTTGGATGGAAGGAACCTGCAGATGGACCGTTAGCTGCTTCTCTCTCCGTGCTCTTCTGATATCTGGCCGGCGTGGAGCTGCTCCTCCCTCTGTTAATACGGCCCCCCGTCCTTCCTCTGCCGTCTGATTGGTCGACCGGCTCCCCCTGAAGGCTCTGTTTCAACTCATAGCTCTCCTTGGACGGGCCGATGAGGTGGAGCCTGTCGTTCATCTCGCAGACCAGAACCGAAGCCAAAGTGTTGTTGTTTTTCTTGATTTTTGATAAAAGTTCTTTTCCTTTGGAGCTGAGGTCCCTCAGTGGGACTTCCTGAGTGCGAAGGGACCTCTGCAGATCATTCAGGAAGTTCTGCAGTTTATTGACGGCCGTCCTGGAGCTCCCGACTTGACAAACGATGGTGGTGTTTTCCTTTTTTATCTCTATGCGGTCTTGCACATCGTCCAGGAGGCTGTCAAGCTCCTGTTTCCTGAATTTCCTGGCGTACCTGAACACGTCAGTATCTATCGTAATCGTATCCCGCTCTGGACCAGAGAACCGGTCCTCCTGAGAGGCCGGACCTCTTCGTAAAGAGCTTGAGGCATGCGAGGAATCTGGAGGTCTTCCACTGCCTTCGTTTCTACTGTAGTATTGTGAAACTGTTGGAGGGTCAGAGGAAGAAGGCGGCGTCGACTCCAGAAGCTGCTCCAAACGGACCTTTACAGCTTTGAGGTGCTGAAAAGAACCATCAACTCGAAACCGACCTTGTTTCAGATCCGTCAACTGGAAGTCATGTGACTGGAGAAACTCCAGAACCTTCTCCCTGTCCTGGAAACGGTTCACATCCACAGTGGCTTGGACTCTGAAATCCATCTAGGCAGAACGGAGACATGATTAAAGCATCATATTTGGTAGAAGATGAGAGAGGAATCAGTTTATGAGGACAAGAAATCCTCCAACATCTCAGAACATCTGTGGATTGAGGCCTGTTGCAGCAAGGAAAGCAAACCAAGCAATTGCCCAGGGCCCCGAGCGGCCCGGGGGCCCCCCAGACTACAGCTGACCTGGTTATAAACGGCATCTAATGACTAACAGTATGAGCGCCAATGTTCCCTCAAAGCTGCGTGCTTCAAAGCTCTCAATGCACAATTAAATCTATGCAGCGCCTGAAAATAAAATCAACATAAACTGTAAATCAATTAGACCAATGCATTTATTTCTGTATCATTTTAATTCCACTCCTGCAGGGGGCAGTGGGTAGCACTGCTGCCTTGCAGCAAGAAAGTTCCAGGTTGGATTTACAGCCTGGGGTCTTTCTGCATGTTCTCCCTGAGCATGCGTGGGTTCTCTCCGGGTACTCCAGCTTCCTCCCATAGTCCAAAAACATGACTGTTAAGTAGGGATGCACGATATAATCGGCCTCCTATCGGTATCGGCCTTAAAACTGAATATCGGACATCGGCCACCCCACCGATATTTAACCCGACATTTGATCAGCTTCTGAGTTTCTAAAGTCTAAAAAAAAAAAAATACTACATCTTCTTCTTCCTCAAAAACTTCTTTTTTACAGACTTAAAAACTTCTAAAGATGAGGGAAAAAATATTGATCCATTAAAATATCCCAATATCTTCATATGCTGATATATTGCCATTTAAAAACACCATATCAATCTCTTTTACTAATGAAATATTGCTATATGTCATGGTTATGCTACGAAATCCCCCGAAAATTCACCAAATGTTGCCATATTTTTATATGTTGATATATTGACGCGGTATCGATCTATTTTACTAACAAAATCTCACAAGAATTTGCAAAATATCACGAGAGTTTGTAACAGAACGATGAAATTTCACCAGATTTTGAAAGTAAAATAGATCGATACCGCGTTTTTAAAAATCTATTTGATATCAGCATATGAAAATATATTTGAGTATATTATTTTGTGTCAGAAATGGATAACAAAACTGCTATTTTCAATGACTACTTATTTTTGTCCAGCTTTAACATCGGTATCGATATCGGTTATCGGCTACATGAGGTTTAAAATATCGGATATCGGCCATAATCCCAATATCGTGCATTGCTACTGTTAAGGTCATGTTTAAGGTTAATTGACTTCTCTAGGTGTGAATGGTTGTCTGTCCTGTTGTCTCTGGTGTTGCCCTGCGATGGACTGGCAACCTGTCCAGGATGGACCCCGCCCACAGGTGTGACTTTCTGAAGGCCTGGTGTAAACATGTCCCCACTAGTAATTTTCGCTTTTTTCCGCTCATTTACTTTAGCCAAAGGTAACCGAGTGATATATGTGGGTTTTATATTTTATGTTCTTTGACAATCATACAAGTTTTGTCACTTTTATTATACAAGTTTTACAAGTTTCCACAAATGTAGCACTCTTTTTATACAAGTTTTGTATCTAAGCACTGAGCACTAAGTCCCTGAGCCTGACCATCAACCTCCACACTGCTCCCCAGGCGCCGCAAAATGCAGCCCACTGATCCCACACAATGGGAAAAAGAAATATCAAGGGTCCTGCTTCATGAAAGGATTAATTAATCACAAGCTTCATAATTAAAGCTTGTGATGAGGGGTCTATATATATAAATATATATATATATATATACACATTTTTTATTTATTTATTTTTTTTGGTGTTGGGGTTGTTTTTTTTGTTTCCGTTCTGTATCTCATGCTCATGTAAGATGATTGGCAGCACAATGTTAGCCTGGGTGCCAGTCCGAACTTAGTCCCGCCCACAAAGTTTGAGTTCGGGGAAGTTCGGTCTGGCTCTGCTCCATAGTAGCGCGAGTATTATCGCCCACTGTCAGGCGATCCAATCAAATTGTCAGGGCGGGCTTTATACGATGATGGACAGATGATCAACAGTAACGTAATCAACCATGTGACCAAAGCGCGCTTGGGTGACAACAACAATGGCTGCCGCTGAAGAGTTGAGGTGAGTAGATTCTGCTATTAGGTCTGTTCTAGAAGATATCGACAGCAAATTAATTTTAAAAGAGGAACAGAGAAACGCGATCAAGGCTCATCTTCTTATTCTAGGCGTGCAACTGCACGCTTTGATTTTTGTGGACAACAACTATGCCTCGCTTAACATGCGTCACGCACTCCGTTGCTCTTATTGGTTGCAGGTCTATCCAATTGAGTGCAGAGGCATTTTTTTTCCTGGTTCGTTCGAAACATGCCCCATAATCACAGCTCTATGGAGCAGCATCAGACTCATATTCTGACTAGAATTGAGTCGGACTACGTCAGGCTAGCACAGTGTACCTTTCTCTATTTATTGTTTTTGTGTGCGAAAATACAAAACTAATAAAAATGTTATAAAAAAATAAATAAAAACAATCAACTGGACTTTGTTTCCAAGTTTGAAGACGTTTTGCTTCCCATCCAGGAAGCTTTTTCAATTCAAAATGTTCTACCAGCTGCTGTGGGAGGTTCCATCAGCCCCAAGGGGATTGTTTTTAATATATATATATATATATATATATATATATATATATATATATATATATATATTTTTTTTTTTTTTTTTTATTTCTCCAATGAGAGATCAATAAAGTTCAGTGGTTCAGTTCAGTTATAATTATTATTATTAAACAGCAGGCAGGCTTTTCAATGGTAACCAGTTGAAATGAAGGATTTTTATGACCCCTTCCAGCTGTTAACCTTTGATCCCATTTTTATCACTTTGTTGAAGCCAAACTTCTACTTCTCAGCTGGGAAACTTCCACCTTTTCTATGTAAAGTATGAAGTACCAGAAAGTAATGACAGCATATTGGAGATATTCCAAAAAAAAAAAGAAAAATAAAAACAATCCACTGGACTTTGTTTCCAAGTTTGAAGACGTTTTGCTTCCCATCCAGGAAGATTTTTCAGTTCAAAATGTCAGAGAGTTCCAGGTTTTATACAGCAGCTCAACAAAACCTTGGTTTGGTTTAGAAAACATGCAAATAGAAACGGATGAAAGGGAATTATTTGAATATGGATTTTTGGAATAACGATGACCTGAACTGGGAATTTTCACCAGCAGATTGGAGATAATACTGAGTTCTGTCTTTACTGCTCTAAACAGACCCAGGAAGATAAACTGGTCTAACAGATAATGATCAGATTAATTTAAATAAAAAGGAAAAGATCATCTGTTTCTGACCTTTTCTCATAGATTATGTCAACATGTTTTGATTCAGAACGTTTCCCCGAAAGTGAAAGTAGAAACTTCTCAAGGGTGTTTGGTTGTTTTGGAAACAAATATCAGAAAAATTACAAATATTCATATAAAGAAATGTGTAAGAAACTTAAATATATATAATTTTAAAAAAGTTAATCGTGTTTCTGCAAAATATGGAAACATTTTACACCGAAGTGACAAACAGGTGATTATATGAGTGAGTCAGAGGTGCAGCTCTAATATTGATAGATCTAGCTGGAATGCAGCAGAGGCGCTGAAACTTACAGTCATTTTTATTCTCCTTCATTCATGGATCCGCTTCTGACGATAAACTTGCTTCAAAGTTGGACGAAACCGAAACAAGCGGCGTCACTTCCGCTTCAGAGCCGCAGACCCAAAACCAGCAGCGAAATCCGGACGTGGTTTAAGAGTGAAAAACTTCCTATGTTTAGTATTTTTAAGGAGTAGAAAATAAACAGAATAAATTAACTTAATTCTGTTCACAAAACCAACTTATAATGCCGATTATTTTAAAATGCAATTTATTTGATCAATTTTTTGCGAAATTTAATTTATACAGCTTGACAAAATTAAATCCACTTATTTTATCTATAATGAATTAAAAGAGAATCTGTAAAACACCGAACAAACAAAAAGTGAGCTCGCCCACCAGTTCCGAGCTCCGCCAGCAGGTGTCGCCAAATCCCATATTAGGACATTAAAACACGCCAACATAAAAAGAAAATAACTTCAAACAACAATTCCAAGTTAATTTTGCTCAAACTTGGTTTTAAATATCTGAATTATTCAGCATTATCCGCAGCAGGGGTGGAAAGTAAAGTAAATGTACCTGATTACTGTGCTTAAGTGCTTTTTTTGAGTATCTTTGAGTATTTTTTCAAAGTCAAAAATTGTTCTACTTCACTCCATTTCTAAGAAGCTGCTAGTTTATTGTTCCTTTTGGCTCAGCATAGCTTTCTAATCCGCTGTTGCTGTTTTGCTTTATTGAAAATTGAATTTCATCATGGCAGATAGCCAGTTGTCTAGTAAGAAAAAAGAAGGGGTATGGTGATTTTTTTTTCTTTTTTTAAGTATACATAGCCTAATTAATCTAGTCTATTAACCTAAAGTCTGGTTGTTACATGTCAGGTACGCCGGTCATTGACCTTGACCAAGGTACCTTACAGTAGAACTGCAGTCAGTCCCTGGACTGGCATGGCTATCATAGTTAGCATGTCTAGCACTGCCCCCACATAATTAGCATGGCTAGCACTGTCCCCTACATAATTACCATGGCTGTCCCCTACATAGTTAGCATGGCTAGCACTGCCCCCTACATAGTTAGCATGGCTAGCACTGTCCCCTACATAGTTAGCATGTCTAGCACTGCCCCCTACATAGTTAGCATGGCTATCACTGCCCCTACATAGTTAGCATGGCTAGCACTGTCCCCTACATAGTTAGCATGTCTAGCACTGCCCCCTACATAGTTAGCATGGCTATCACTGCCCCTACATAGTTAGCATGGCTATCACTGCCCCTACATAATTAGCATGGCTAGCACTGTCCCCTACATAGTTAGCATGTCTAGCACTGCCCCCTACATAGTTAGCATGGCTAGCACTGTCCCCTACATAGTTAGCATGTCTAGCACTGCCCCCACATAATTAGCATGGCTAGCACTGTCCCCTACATAGTTAGCATGGCTAGCACTGTCCCCACATAGTATGTGTGTAATATATATATATATATATATATAAATATAATAATGTTTTAACTCCTTAGGATTTCAAATAAAGGCTGACCTGGGTTCAAATCCGGCCTGTGGTCCTTTCCCGCATGTCTCTCTCCCTCTCATACCCCCTTTCACCCTACTGTCTAAAAAAACAAGCCACTAGTGCCGCAAAAACTAACAAAAAAAAAGAAAACAAAAAAAGTTTTCAAATGATTAAATATTGTACCAAATTTTATTATCAACAGACATAAAACCTGCAAACATTTAACAGCAATCGTTTCTCTTCTTTAGCTCGTTGCAGGATATCATCGCCTTGTCTGATTTTACGCAACCATAGAAAAAAAAATCCCAACATTTCCTTTATTTCTCCTTCAAACAAAAAGGAAAGAGGAAAATGTAACCATTTCTTTTCTTTTTTTTTACCCAAAAAAGCGCAGACATTTACAGACAAACAGAAATTCATTAATTCAGTGAAAGTTTCTAAAATGTTGCTTAAGATTTACATAATTTTTATAATCGATTACCTGGGAAAACACTAACTTTTCCATTTCTTTCTTTATCAGGAGTTGGCTTAATAAATTCAGTGGCACATTAAATAAGCGATTTGATCTAATTTCATCCTGAAAAAGAAAACGAGAAGCTTGAAATCGAACGTGTAGAAGTGCATGCATAGCGGTGAATCCACAACACGACTAAAAACCATCTAAAAAATCCAGGCAAACAGGCACAAATAGAAAAAAAATAAAATAGTAGACGACATTTAAAGATTTCTGGAACCTAAAAAAAAAAATATTTGGTCCAAAACTTTAAAATGCGGAACAAAAGGTATAAAATCTACGGATGGACTTCCAGGCTAGTTGTAGTTTTCAGGGAGCCTCGATCTCACTCCTCCTCAGAGGATTTCTCTGTGTTTTCTGGTTTGTCTTCAGTCTGATCACCTTCTGCACAGAAAGAAACCCAAAACCTGTCAGTTAGTTTATTAACCATCAGCAGAACCGGTGATGAACGGTGTAGAACCGACCTGCTGGGGCCTCTTTGGTGGGTCCAGGTGACTCCTTGGCTTCACCATCTGACCTCTGCAGAGCGATTCTCACCAATCTGGTCACTTCTGGATATTTAGCTTCTTGAACTGCATCCTTTTCGTCTGAAATGCTGCTCGGCACGTCTGAAACAAAACATCAGGTCAAACAGGGAGATCAATTTAAAAAAAAAAATTACCGTAAATCCTCTAATATAGGCCGGGGCCTTTATTTCACTCAGGTGCATCTTGGTCCAGGCCATTATTGGAAGGAGGCCAGAATTAGAAGCAGGACTCTAATTCCATTTGATCAAAACAGACGACCAAAGAAATGAATAAAAACCAGATTGTTTCTCTTTGAACCGATAAAATACTAGGTTTATTTATTGAAAAAGTACAGTAAACGACATATAACGATATATAGAACATTATTCAGACATCTTCCCGCAGCTGCCATTTTTCTGCACGGCAATAAAAATTAAAAAAAGACACAGAATGGAATCTTGGTGAAACAAAGTTTTTAAATAAATGAATGGAAACTGTTCTGCCATCACAGCCGGTCACAAAAACCAAACAATCTACCTAACGGCTTGGATTCGTTAGTAAACACTGCCCCCCTGTGGTACTTGCATGTTACTATCACAGGTTGCTGAGGACTGGCCAGGAACTTTGTTGGTTCTAATTATAGCCCCGGCCTGTATTAGCGTCCGGCCATTATTTACCCCCGCCGACAGCAAAACCGGCCATTATTAGAGACCCGGCTGCTAATGGAATACAGGCCAATATTAGAGGATTTACGGTAATAAATAAAACTTTTTGATCTCCGATTTCTCTCATCCGCTCCATCATTCTTGAATGTTCTGAGAAGTAGCTTTTATTGCTCTAATAACAGTTTAACAGCTCTGGCATTTTTTACTTTACTTTTGATCTCAAACTTTTATTAAACAATAAAGGAGCATTTAGACACTTGTTTTCATCTTTGATCATGTGATTAAAATCCACCATAAGAAAGATTTCCAGGAAATCACAGCAGGATCGCCAAATTACTGAAAGTTCTGTCCCGGAGTAGTGCAAAACTAGCCTCGTGAGACCATCCTGATCTCGCGAGCTTTCAAGGTTTCACTCGCAGATCAGTCTGGAGACTCTCCGTTAAAGGAAATTTGGAGCCGTTCACCAAACGAACGTCCAATCAGCGTTGGCTTTGAGGCGGGTTGAGGTGTGACACAACGAGAAGCGCGACAGTTCAGTCTAAAGAACATGGCGGCTTCAGCCGTTGAAAACTAGCATTAGTGTGGCTATCGAGCAAGTTTTATTGGAATTACAGAGTATTTCTTCACTGAAAGAAGAGCAAAACACTGCTCTGGAGGCTTTTCTCAGAGGAAAAGATGGTTTTGCTCTTCTCCAGACTGGTTTCGGCAAGAGTTTGATCTATCAATTAGCTCCTCTTCGTCGTCGCTCTGTTAGTACGTCATATGCTTCGTTGATCTGATTGGTTTATTTGGCCCGTCTATCACCAACATAGGCCAATCAGCTAACCAGTATTTTCGCCTCTTCCCAAAATTACTTCAACGGAAGGTTTCCAGATGGAAATGCGGAGCAAATAGTCACTGGATTTGATACTCCAAGGCTGAAATACGGTGATTCTTTACCATCAACGTCCACAAAATGTATTTGAAAACATTCAGTTTATCCAAAACACTACAGCTGGGCTTCTGTTCAAAACCCTTAAAACTTTCTTTTTCTCTACAATGATGCTGCATTAGGCTTAGGCTGCTGGAGGACATGACGACCACTTTTCCCTCACTCAGCTTCATTCTACTTTTATTTTCCAATTTTACATTTCAGTTACATATTAGTTGTTGCAGCATTAACTTTATGATCTCTCTCCATAGAAAGTACACCTGTCCCACTGTTTTAGATGGGATTCCTTCCATCCTTCAGCCCATTCCTGCAGAATGCCACACCCGGGGGCGGATTTTCCATTAGGCAATACTAGGCAGTTGTCTAGGGCCCGAAGTTCCTGGGGGCCCCATAAAACTCCATTTACATGTATGGTTACTACAGCTATTACTTATCTGTGCACATTAATTATGTTTTTGATAAAAATATTTTCGTTAATATGCAATCACCCCTTCAGTGTCCACCATATTGGATCAGTCCATTTGCTGCACATGTTCAGAAAGGTCCAAACAGACAGCAGCAAACCATTTGAAAACAAACCATGCAAAGAGCAGTGTTGCCAACTTAGCGCTTTAGTCGCTATATTTAGCCACTTTTCAGACCCCTCTAGCACTTTGATTTCTAAAAAGCTCCTAGCGCCAAATCTAGAGACTTTTTTCTGCTACTGGAGACTTTGGAGACAACATCTAAAAGCAGCGAACTCTGCTCTCCAGAGCGAGTAGATTGGTAACCCCGCCTCCTGCTCTCCTCTATCTTGTCTGCTGTCATGATTCATGCAGCTATTATTTCATCCAAATGAAAAATGGAGAACAGAGAAGCAGATCATGGCTTGTCTACAGTGAAAAGAAGGACTGGGTTATTTACTTTGGCCTTTTTGGAAACACAGGAAGGAGCAATCAGCTAAGTGAGCTTAGTGCTTGGAAAAAATCTTTCATTCCTTTAGAGACAGCATGAAAAGTCAGCTGAGTACAAAACATAGAGAGGAAAACAAGAAGAAAAGGGACAAGAAGAGAGGGACACAACCTAGAACAGATAATGGATGTCTATTCTATTAACATTTTTCTATCTGTAGAATGGGGCTGTTTTATGGGTTGCCTTCTCCATTCAGAAGGCCCCCTGACTGTCTTTGCCTAGGGCCCCAAATTTCCTAAATCCGCCCCTGGCCAGGCCTACTGGTTTTGGTCGATGATTTTTCATGTTTCCAGATTTGTTTCAGAATTAGAATTCAGTTTAATCTGTTGTCCTTTCATTGTTTTCATTTAATGTTTCACATTTTGTTTCATTTTTATAAAATATTTTTCATTCTGACAGAAAGTACAAAAATAAAAAATAAATGAATGTTTGATTTCATGTAATTGGATCCAGTTTTTTTAATTACGGTACATTTAATCTAATTATTTTGAGGATTTGCAGAAAAACCTATTTTGTATTAAATATTTAAATCAAGACTCGCTTCAGGCTCTGGTTTCCTTTTTTTTGTAAAAATAAAGCTCAGCAAATTTTAACAATCAGTAAAAATAATAATTGCTGTAAGTAAGGCTGGTGAAACATTTTAACAACCAAAGTCATGTTTGAAGTCATTTCTGATTGAGTAGTCGTACCTTTCCATGTTTGAAGATCTTGGTTCTTCCTTTTCCTGGCCGATGTCTTGGTTGTGCTTTTTCTTCGGTTGTCTGAGCGATTCACCAGAGCTTCGTCATCGGAGCTGTCGTCATCATCGCAGATTTCTGGAGGGAGAAAGCGACAGCAGCTGACGTGTCAGGAAGCGGTTCAGGTCACAGAGCCGTTAGTCAGCGACCGTTTTTGAAGAACCTTGGGACTTTTTCCGTGGTCTTCCTCGCGGCCTCTTGCTCTTCTTCGTGGGTTTCTTAGCCGTTTGCTTCTTCTTGGAGACCAGGTTCTTCAGAGGATCATCGTCTTCGTCCGAGCCGCTGCCTGAAGACGAAGCGTCTAAAAAAGCGGATGAATTAGTGCCTGAAATGCTCGTGACTACGGAGTGAACACTAACCCCGAAATCCCACATCCTCCGTAACTGCACGGCTCCATTCCAGATGCCTCCGCAAAGCAAAGCCTACAGCCTCCGACTCTACTCCGACTTCCTCGGAGCTCGAGGAGAGCATGCGCGATTTTATTACCGTAATTTTCGGACTATAAGCCGTGACTTTTTCCCCATTTTTCCACCTTGCTGCTTATATAACAATGCGGCTTATCTATGGACATTTACAGCTAACGGCCACTAGCGTAATACCTAAATCTATGGATTTTATCATCCACCATGTTGACGTCACATTTGCTTCAACACACAAGTACGGTAGCCGAGAGCGCGGGAATGCGGAGGTCCTCCGGAAGCAGACTTTTCTACCGCGAGTGGTACGAGACAGAACCACAGAGAGAAAGACGGACATTAAACATAAAAAACCTGCGGCTTATATTCAGCTGTGGCTAATAGTCAGAAAATTACAGTATTATTAAACTTGCAGGAGCAAAACATAAGGAAATGAACACTTAATGTAATATCACAAATTGAAAAAATCCCCATCAGTATTCAGCATAAATGCAGTTTTGTGGATTTTTGTAACAGGCATAACTGGGATTGTAGTAAATTGGTTTATATGAGATACGGATAAATTTTTGCATCCTTGCCTGGGATGAAAAGTTAGTTTTGAAGTGGTGAGATGCGCTCTTGCAGGGTTCCTACAGCATAAGGCGAGTTAAATTCAAGACTTTTTAAGCCACTTGAAAAAAAAATTTAAGACCAAATTCACGAGAAACACAAGAAAAACCTGCTTGCGACAACTGAACCCAAAGGTTTATTTTAACATAAACCACTGCACTAATGTTTCAAATGTTGAAAAGCTTCCCATACAGGAAGAAAGCTAAAAACACACAAATGACAGATATATTTTAACAATTATTTAACTGAATTCACAAACTTTGTTTTAGCAGGGAACAAAACAAATCAGTTTTAAAGCCCCAACATAACCAGTGCTAAGTCTTTTTTGCAGCTATTTTTCTTTGTATGGTTTTCTTAGTATGTTTGATTTGGTGATAAGTGGAGGCGTTGCAGAGACAAGGGTGGAACTAAACTGAGAAATACCGGCTGTTTCTCTGTAACTCCATTTAGACGCTTTGTGTTTCGTGCTTCGCATGTGCGACTCCACTGCCTTAATTCCCATCGTTCTGAGCTTGAATGACTTCTTGCACTAAATCCACTGAGCCTCATGTATGTTCCCTGGTTTTGGCCATGGAGAAAACTCTTGGCTGGAGACTATTTTGGTTACATTTACACTTGCTCAGATTTTCCAGACAAAAAGTTAACGGCGCATCTCCCAAATGTCCCGGCCGCAACAACGCTTTATTGGTTCCGCTATCGGGACGGAACCAATAATGGTGAGCCGTTGTTTATTTTTTTTTATAAAAAAAGAATTGTCAATTTTAATGTTTTATTTAGATTACAAAAATAAATCGTAATAAAAATTATCTTATTTATGATGTTTTAAAAATTAAGACCTTCGAAAGACTAATTTAAGACATTTTAATACCAATTAAGGCCTTTGTTTTATTTTGAAGAATTCAATGCCTTTTAAAGACTTTTTAAGGACCAGCAGGAACCCTGTTATTCCACGCCAAAACGCAAGAGGGACAATCAGGAACTAGCTGTGGGTCTAGATACGGCCGAGGCGGTGAGGAAGTGGGGGATAGTTTCTGCGGCAACGGAGGGACATGAGGGTGAAAAAGAGCGGGGATCCAGGTGGAAAAAGGATCCCAGCGTTCTCACGCACCTCGCTCTTCTAGCTGCTCCATCTTTACCAGTCGTTTTCCACAATGGCGGTCAGACAAACAAAACAAGTGGGTATAAATCAGCATTTAGTGTACGGTGACGTGTGGAAGAGCAACGGTGGAAGTGGAACATTTCTCTTTGATTAACACGATCCGTGTTGAGCGGATCGGATCGCTCACGGAGTACGTGGAATCTGGGGGTTACAGTCTGATTACCTTTGAGTGATTTTTGTTTTCCAGATTTCATCCTAGATGAACCGTTCGTCGTCTTCTTCATCACGACCAGCTGGTCGTCGTCAGAGCTGTGCTCGCTGGAAGTCTCTGCATAATTAACTGGAGGAAAAGCAGCTTTAGTTTGTTTAAATTAGGGAGAAAAAAAAACATTTAAAGAGACGTTCAAAGTTTCCTGCTCACCGCTCTTCCTGGCCGCATTCCTCTGGGATTTATGCACCTCGCTGGTTTTATACCTCACGACGGCTTTTCTCTTCCTCTTTGAGGGAAGTTTTTCAGCTATCTTGTTTAAAGGCTCGTCGTCAGAGCTGTCATCCTTGTCCGACGGCTCTGCAGGGAAAAAGGAGGTATATAACAGCTTTTACTGCCTAGAAAAACCATCAGGAATCATTGTTCAAAAATGATCTCAGATTAATGAATTAATGGATCAGTTTGCTGACAGGTTTTTGTTAAAACAGCAAGATGGAAAGACTTCAGCAATAACTTTAGAGAAGGAACCATCAGCTAGGGAAAGCTGGAGGACATCTCTGGGCTAAAGACTGTAGGATTTTAACCAGAGGGAAATCACTGGAAGCTGCGGTCACATCCAGGTAGAACTGAACTTTGGCTCATTTGCTCTGAAACTTCAGTTAAGCTTGAAAGGTGGAAAACCTTCTAACATTTGAAGGAGCCATAGAAACCCTTTCAGGGGGCCCAGTTTTCTTTTTCAGAAAGGAAACCTAGACTGAGAGAATGCAACATCGCCAGTGGTACCAGGTCTAACCGACTACAGGCCGAGAAAGCGACCCAACCCAGGGTTGGAGGATCCAGAAGACTCAGCTGAGCGAGGCTCGGAAAAATGATGGGGGCAAAAAAAAACCAGAAGCATCATCTAGGACTTGGTTCTAAGTTTGAGAGGAATTTTATCTGGACTGATGAGAGCAGAAAGCTCAGAGCAAGGAAACCAAACCCATCAGATCCATGAAGCACGGCGGCGGAGGTATGATGATATGCTGGTGAAGATTCATCCAGGTCAGTCATTCCAAAAAAAAAAAAAAAAGTAAAAAAATAAAACAATCCACTAGACTTTTTATCCAAGTTTGAAGACGTTTTACTTCCCATCCAGGAAGCTTTTTCATTTCAAAATGGTAAAATTAGTGTTGAGTTCCAAGCTTTATATAGAAGCCCGAAAACTTGTTTTGGCTTGGAAAACATGCAAATTGAACCAGAAGAACGGGTCCACTTCTTAGGAATGGGGAGGTTCTGCAATATCCCATACCCGACTGAGGCATAACCCAGTATAGATTCTACCATCCCATGCAGGAGGTTCTACCACAGGGGTTGACGTTAAGGATTTTTACCACTTGCCCAAAGGGCAAGTGACTTTCACATTTCATTTGCCAAGAAACAAGGTTCTACCATCCCATGTAGGAGGTTCTACAAGCCATTGCAGGAGGTTCTACCATCCCATGTAGGAGGTTCTACAAGCCATTGCAGGAGGTTCTACCATCCCATGCAGGAGGTTCTACAAGCCATTGCAGGAGGTTCTACCATCCCATGCAGGAGGTTCTACCATCCCATGCAGGAGGTTCTACAAGCTGCTACGGAGGGTTCCAACAGCCGCTGTAGGTTATATCAGCCACTGCAGGAGGTTCTACAAGCCGTTGTAGGTGGTGCAACAAGCGGCTGCAGGAGGTTCAAGCATTCCATGCAGGAAGTTCTATCAGCCACTGCAGGCGGTTAGATCAGCTGCTAGATAAGGGATTGTATTTAGGAAGATCTGATCACCTCCTTTATGTCTGAAGCATGACCCTTATCACATGTTGGTATGTGAAGCCCTCCATTCACAGCAGGTTTTTTACTCCTTTTTACCGTAAATAAAAGAGCAGCGGGTCTGTGTGGGGCTGCAGAAGAAGAAGAGAGGAAGCCATCTCACCTTTCTTCTTCCTACCAGCAGGTTTCTTCTTCTTCTCTGGGGTTTGCTTCTTCCTCGGTGACCTGGAAGGTTTGGCGGTTTTCACCAGAGGCTCGTTGTCAGAGTCTTCACCTGTGTTGGAACCTTAGGCAAAAACAGAAGAATATTCAAACCGGCCTCAGGCAGCTCAGCTATGACATCAGAACCATGTGTGGTGAAGGAAACCTGATTGTCTTTCCACTGAGCCGTCAGATTGAGGAGTCGACGCCTTTTTGTCTTTTGCTGCAGGTTTTTTCTTCTTTATCAGCGGTTCGTCATCGGAGGATTCATCTGTGAGAGAATTAGTTCAACAAGAAAATCACTAAACAGACAGAACCCTTTATGAAATAAAGTAAAAAATAAAAGAACCGTGCACAAAAAATGGAGTACACTTTTGTCCAAAAAAAACCCTCCTCCCAAGTACAGAGTGATAGAGGAATCTTCATCTGTCTCTGTGTTACATCTGCACACTAAAGTATTTAGAGTTAAACGTTGGAGTGGGTGGCGTTCCAATTTCCTCACAATATGCAAACTAGCCAGTCAGAGGTTGATCTGATCCACCTGCCGTCGCTTTATTGGGTAGAAACCAAACAAACGCTGATAATTGGCTGAAGCTACGCCCCATTCTGTGACTAAGTGTTACTGATTCTCCTCATTAGTCTGCAATCTGCTGATTCTAATGTCCAAGGAATCCTACCTGGACCTAAAGATATCTCTGCTTCAATACATAAAGAAGGAGGTTCTACCAGCCGCTGCACGAGGTTCTACCAGACGCTGCAGGAGGTTCTACCAGCCGCTGCACAAGGTTCTACCAGACGCTGCACGAGGTTCTAAGACGCTGCAGGAGGTTCTAAGACGCTGCAGGAGGTTCTAAGACGCTGCAGGAGGTTCTACCAGACGCTGCAGGAGGTTCTAAGACGCTGCAGGAGGTTCTAAGACGCTGCAGGAGGTTCTAAGACGCTGCAGGAGGTTCTAAGACGCTGCAGGAGGTTCTAAGACGCTGCAGGAGGTTCTACCAGACGCTGCAGGAGGTTCTAAGACGCTGCAGGAGGTTCTAAGACGCTGCAGGAGGTTCTAAGACGCTGCAGGAGGTTCTAAGACGCTGCAGGAGGTTCTAAGACGCTGCAGGAGGTTCTAAGACGCTGCAGGAGGTTCTACCAGACGCTGCAGGAGGTTCTACCAGACGCTGCAGGAGGTTCTAAGACGCTGCAGGAGGTTCTACCAGACGCTGCAGGAGGTTCTACCAGACGCTGCAGGAGGTTCTAAGACGCTGCAGGAGGTTCTAAGACGCTGCAGGAGGTTCTAAGACGCTGCAGGAGGTTCTAAGACGCTGCAGGAGGTTCTAAGACGCTGCAGGAGGTTCTAAGACGCTGCAGGAGGTTCTACCAGACGCTGCAGGAGGTTCTACCAGACGCTGCAGGAGGTTCTAAGACGCTGCAGGAGGTTCTAAGACGCTGCAGGAGGTTCTAAGACGCTGCAGGAGGTTCTAAGACGCTGCAGGAGGTTCTAAGACGCTGCAGGAGGTTCTAAGACGCTGCAGGAGGTTCTAAGACGCTGCAGGAGGTTCTACCAGACGCTGCAGGAGGTTCTACCAGACGCTGCAGGAGGTTCTAAGACGCTGCAGGAGGTTCTACCAGACGCTGCAGGAGGTTCTACCAGACGCTGCAGGAGGTTCTAAGACGCTGCAGGAGGTTCTAAGACGCTGCAGGAGGTTCTAAGACGCTGCAGGAGGTTCTAAGACGCTGCAGGAGGTTCTAAGACGCTGCAGGAGGTTCTAAGACGCTGCAGGAGGTTCTACCAGACGCTGCAGGAGGTTCTAAGACGCTGCAGGAGGTTCTAAGACGCTGCAGGAGGTTCTAAGACGCTGCAGGAGGTTCTAAGACGCTGCAGGAGGTTCTAAGACGCTGCAGGAGGTTCTAAGACGCTGCAGGAGGTTCTACCAGACGCTGCAGGAGGTTCTACCAGACGCTGCAGGAGGTTCTAAGACGCTGCAGGAGGTTCTAAGACGCTGCAGGAGGTTCTAAGACGCTGCAGGAGGTTCTACCAGCCGCTGCAGGAGGTTCTACCAGACGCTGCAGGAGGTTCTACCAGACGCTGCAGGAGGTTCTAAGACGCTGCAGGAGGTTCTAAGACGCTGCAGGAGGTTCTAAGACGCTGCAGGAAGTTCTAAGACACTGCAGGAGGTTCTAAGACGCTGCAGGAGGTTCTAAGACGCTGCAGGAGGTACTAAGACACTGCAGGAGGTTCTAAGACGCTGCAGGAGGTTCTAAGATGCTGCAGGAGGTTCTAAGATGCTGCAGGAGGTTCTAAGACGCTGCAGGAGGTTCTAAGATGCTGCAGGAGGTTCTAAGACACTGCAGGAGGTTCTAAGACGCTGCAGGAGGTTCTAAGACACTGCAGGAGGTTCTAAGACACTGCAGGAGGTTCTACCAGCCGCTGCAGGAGGTTCTACCAGCCGCTGCAGGAGGTTCTACCAGCCGCTGCACGAGGTTCTACCAGCCGCTGCACGAGGTTCTACCAGCCGCTGCACGAGGTTCTAACAGACGCTGCAGGAGGTTCTAAGACGCTGCAGGAGGTTCTGCTAACTGACGCTACAGGAGGTTCTGCTAACTGACGCTGCAGGAGGTTCTGCTAACTGACGCTGCAGGAGGTTCTAAGACACTGCAGGAGGTTCTAAGACACTGCAGGAGGTTCTAAGACACTGCAGGAAGTTCTAACAGACGCTGCAGGAGGTTCTAACAGACGCTGCAGGAGGTTCTAACAGACGCTGCAGGAGGTTCTAACAGACGCTGCAGGAGGTTCTAACAGACGCTGCAGGAGGTTCTAACAGACGCTGCAGGAGGTTCTAACAGACGCTGCAGGAGGTTCTGCTAACTGACGCTGCAGGAGGTTCTGCTAACTGACGCTGCAGGAGGTTCTAACTAACGCTGCAGGAGGTTCTGCTAACTGACGCTGCAGGAGGTTCTAACTGACGCTGCAGGAGGTTCTGCTAACTGACGCTGCAGGAGGTTCTAACTAACGCTGCAGGAGGTTCTGCTAACTGACGCTGCAGGAGGTTCTGCTAACTGACGCTGCAGGAGGTTCTAACTGACGCTGCAGGAGGTTCTAACTGACGCTGCAGGAGGTTCTAACTGACGCTGCAGGAGGTTCTAACTGACGCTGCAGGAGGTTCTAACTGACGCTGCAGGAGGTTCTAACTGACGCTGCAGGAGGTTCTAACAGACGCTGCAGGAGGTTCTGCTAACTGACGCTTCAGGAGGTTTGATCAGCTGCTATTTAAGGGGTCATATTTATGGAGATCCGATCATCTCCTTTATGTCTGAAGCATAAAACTTACTTTTGTACTTTATTTTTACCACGACTTCAGTAGTAGAACTAAGACAGACTTTAGGAAGAAGAGAGAAATCGTCTCACCTTTCTTCTTCCTACCAGCAGGTTTCTTCTTCCTCCCTGGGGTTTTCTTCTTCCTCGGTGACCTGGAGGAAGGTTTAGAGGTTTTCGCTGCAGGCTTGTAGTCCGAGTCGTCACCCGTGTTCGAATCTGAGGAGACAAAAAAAAAAACAGAAGAATATTTAAACCAGCCTCAGGAAAATGTGCTATAACATCAGGTCCATGTGTGGTGAAGGAACACCTGAGGTTCTGTCTGCTGATTCGTCAGATGGGGGCGGAGTCGACACCTTTTTGTCTTTTGCTGCAGGTTTTTTCTTCTTCATCAGTGGTTCGTCATCAGAGTCGTCATCTGAAGCTACCAGAAAAGATTAAATCGTTAAAGTCTGATCACCAGAGACTGGTGGCGGCGGCTGCTCTCTGAAACAGGGGAGGCTACAGGGTGTCAATCTAATCCAAACGTCACGTTATGCTGAAACACATAAAACACATCACTACCATGGCTGAATACAGCTGCTGTGAAGCGATCTGAATTAATAACTTCCCTGGACCTCGAGGAGAGCATGCCCAATATTATTTTTATTATTAAACTAAAACTAAAATATTTTTGTTGTGGATTTTTGTAACGGGGATAACTAGGATCATACAGGGTTTGTATGAACTATGTTCTCTACCTCCAAAATCAGCATCCATTCCTGTGATAAGATGTTTGTTTTGAAGTTTTGAGAGGGGCTCTTGGAAACTATTGTGACAGTATTTAATTAATAATAAAATTAATTGAATTAATTAATAAAACTTTTAAGCCTCTCGGTATAAAATAAATATTTTGAGGGAGATGAGAAATCTGCTTCCTGGTCTGTTGGAAGTATCAATAGTTTGCAATCAATAATCTAATTAAACGGACTTAGTTTTTGGTGAATATGTAAGAATTATGCTCTGATGTTTATTTACCGATCTGTTACCATATTTCAATTTGACAAACTGGATCTTCTCCATGTTCTTTTTCCTGTTTGGTGCGATTTGAATTGCGGATCTTGACCTGGCCGAACCGGAGCGGAGCAAAAAGTAGCTTGAATTGGTATTTTGATGGAGAAGACGTACGTGGACGATGACGTGCGGAGGAGTAGCGGTGGATGTGGAAGCGCTCTCATTGATTAACATGACAGACTAGTATTGTAACATAACTGTCGGGTTCATAAAATGTAGGTTTTTGCTTAAAAAGAACTGAAATACACAATTATGGATACAATTCCTGCAGGAAGGAGAGACAGTTGAACCCCAGACTCAAACACTGTCTCCCACTGGACCTCCTCCGCAGAGCGTTTTATTAACAGAACATGACGCATGGTTACAAACAGAGTATTGTTCTGACAGAACAATTGATCAGTTCATAAAGACAGAATGCTCCATCAGAATGACAAGGCAGGATGGTCTCCTGACTGGATCATGAGACAGGAGTGGAGCTTCCCCTCGCAAAAATGTTTCATAAGCACACATTAATTTTATAATCATCATTGAATAAACCTAACAATAACCACTATGTTATTTTTCTCTTTTTGTATAAAGTACATTAAAGTGTACCGATGACAAACTGTCTTGTAGAACACTTATGTCATTGGTAATATTTCAAATCCCCACTGGTTAAAAAACTAATGATGGGAATTAATATGCTGGAATATTTTGGCGTAGAGAAATTTCTCAATAAAAAGGGCCGTGTGCGTCGGCGTGCACGGCTTGACCGGTGAGGAAGACGCGCACTGATAGGTCTGTGCAGAGGGAGTTTTTGTCTGGTTGTCCGTTAAAAACAAGTCGAAAAATAAAGGAAGAAAGATGAAACACAGCGCCGCAGATCAGCCATATAGGAAACTGATCGGAGTTTGCACCCAGAGGACGCCGTCCGGTGCACAGCAGACGCTAGCCTCGTGAGACCATCCTGATCTCGCGAGCTTTCAAGGTTTCACTCGCAGATCAGTCTGAAGACTCTCCGTTAAAGAAAATTTGGAGCCGTTCACCAAAAGAACGTCCAATCAGCGTTGGCTTTGAGGCGGGTTGAGGTGTGACGCAACGAGAAGCGCCACAGTTCAGTCTAAAGAACATGGCGGCTTCAGCTGATAAAACTAGCGTTAGCGTGGCTATCGAGCAAGTTTTATCGGAATTACAGAGTATTTCTTCACTGAAAGAAGAGCAAAACACTGCTCTGGAGGCTTTTCTCAGAGGAAAAGATGTTTTTGCTCTTCTCCCGACTGGTTTCGGCAAGAGTTTGATCTATCAATTGGCTCCTCTTCGTCGTCGCTCTGTTAGTACGTCATATGCTTCGTTGATCTGATTGGTTGGACAATATTATTAAAAACAGAAAGAACGGACAGTTTTGGACTTTCAGTTATTAGGGATGTTTTTGCAGATATAAAATTGAGACAATAGCCGTTTCTCAATATGCGTTCTTGAGCGTTCTCGTGTGCTCGTGTACTCGTGACACGTCATCAGCCTCAGCACCGTTCCAATTCTCGAGAACGCCAGATCGAGAACGCACCAAATCCCCAGATGTTGTTCTCGCCCCGCCCTCTTTATCGAGCATGCATCAGAGCAGACTTGTGCGTTCTTCAGACTGACCGCTTCCCCCCGCGGCCGCAGCTTGATTCCAGACAGCGCTCACAGTGGTAAGTTAAACATTCCCTTTTCTGCTGCTGTTGTTCTTCAAAAGTATGTTTTGAAATCGTTTGAAGCGATAACATTATACATTGAAGCCTCCCTGTGTGGTCTGTTTACAGAGTTAGTGCGAAATTTTAAAAAAAAGTCCGACGTTGAGCGGACCAGAGTGACCAGCAGACCTCCGAAGGTAACCGCAGCCAGGGCTAAATTTACCCCGTCTGTAGTGCACTTCTCTCGGTCTAGTTATGTGTGAACTACCGCTCGTTAATAAATAGTTTTGACTGTTAAAGAAATGCTAACGAACGTTGAATGTGATGATGTCACGAGTACACTTCTGTTCCAATACACATACGCGAGTACGTACTCGCGTTCTCGTGAATTGAGAAACGACATTTGAGTTTACTTATAAATTGGTTGTGAAGGTTTTTGGGTTATTGATCTATTTATACTGAAATATTATTTGAATGAAACTTTGGATTCTTGGTAGTAGTGCGACTTTTGTTTTTTTAATTATTTTTTTATTAAATCTTTGTTTGCTATCAAAATCAACATAATCCAACTAAGTGGTTGGATTTGTTTTATTTTTTTTCGTCTCAGATTTATATTTTAACACTTGAGTATTTGTGAGTTCTGCTTTTAATCAAGCTGAATTTTACAGTATTCCGCATGACGTACGTGAGCAGGGCAGAGCGTTAACCTGACTCCGCCAGAAGGGTTTGTTCCGCATATCCATCTGGAAACCTTCCGTTGAAGTAATTTTGGGAAGGGGCGAAAATACTGGTTAGCTGATTGGCCTATGTTGGTGATAGACGGGCCAAATAAACCAATCAGATCAAGGAAGCATATGACGTACTAACAGAGCGACGACGAAGAGGAGCCAATTGATAGATCAAACTCTTGCCGAAACCAGTCGGGAGAAGAGCAAAAACATCTTTTCCTCTGAGAAAAGCCTCCAGAGCAGTGTTTTGCTCTTCTTTCAGTGAAGAAATACTCTGTAATTCCCATAAAAATTGCTCGATAGCCACGCTAACGCTAGTTTTCATCGGCTGAAGCCGCCATGTTCTTTAGACTGAATTGTGGCGCTTCTCGTTTCGTCACACCTCAACCCGCCTCAAAGCCAACGCTGATTGGACGTTCGTTTGGTGAACGGCTCCAAATTTTCTTTAAAGGAGAGTCTCCAGACTGATCTGCGAGTGAAACCTTGAAAGCTTGCGAGATCAGGATGGTCTCACGAGGCTAGCAGAGTGTAGCGCTGACGGAGGATGTGGAATCTGAGGGTGAGAGGTTCAGCCAAAGTGGAAGTGACATATTCCAAAAAGGGCTCTACTTTCTAGCTGTTCACATCAATAGGCGGAGGCTTAAACCTCCTAAGTGTTGAAGATTAATTTCTTTTTATTTTATTTTCTGTTTTAAATAACATCCATTAAAGCAGATTGGTGCAGAAGGAGACGAGAAAAAGAGCGTCTCACCTTTCTTCTTCCTCCCAGCAGGTTTCTTCTTCCTCTCTGGGGTTTGCTTCTTCCTCGGTGAAGGTTTGGAGGTTTTCACCAAAGGCTCGTTGTCAGAATCATCACCTGTGTTTGGATCTGAGGAGACAGAAGAGATGCCAGAACATTCAAACCCAGATCAGGAAGCTCAGCCGTGACATTGGGTCCATAAGTGATGAAGGAACACCTGAGTTTCCGTTTTCTGAGGCGTCCGATTTGGGAGGAGATGATTCTTTTTGGTTCTTTGCTGAAGTGGGAGGTTTTTTCTTCTCTACTGGCGGTTCTTCATCTGAGGAGTCATCTGAAGCTGCGAAGAAAACAAAAATCAGCACCAGGGTGGGGGAGGGCGGATGCTTTGGGCTCGGTCAGCAGCCTCCGGGAACCTGGAGGAAACATCCTACCTTCCTTCTTCCTACCAGCAGGTTTCTTCTTCCTCCCGGGGCTTTTCTTCTTCCTCGGTGACCTGGAGGAAGGTTTGGAGGTTTTCACCAGAGGCTTGTCGTCAGAATCATTGCCTGTGTTTGGATCTGAGGAGACGAAAAGCGGAACATTAAAACCGTCCTCAGGAAGCTGAGCTATAATAAGGTCCATGTGTGGCGAAGGAACACCTGAGTGGCGTTCCACCGAGCCGTCAGACGGGGGAGGAGTCGACGCCTTTTTATTCGATCCTGCAGGTTTCTTCTTCTTCTTCATCTGCGGCTTCTCGTCAGAGGAGTCGCCAGAAACTGCAAGAAAAGATCGGAGGTTAAAAACTTAAAGGTCTGGAATGGGTTCTAATAAACACGGAAATGTTTGTCCTCACCACCTCCACTCTTCTTAGAACCAGTGTTGGAGCCTTCAGAGTTAGCAAACGACTTCTTCTGGTCTTCCTGTGGCCTCATGAGGAGCTTTGACAGCGGAACGAACTCCTCGTCGTCGGAGCCAGAGCTTTCTTTCTCTGATTGGTTACAGAAAGCACAATATTACTGCTTGTTGGTACCAGAATAGCTCAATAACAGAAAACACTTTATAAAAAAATCTAAATTGCTTTGTCTTAACCTCTTAACAGCCACCTCATTTTGGGTAATCCTCGCCTATTTTGCATACCCAAATGGAAAAGCAAATAACTTAGGAACTGTAAGTCCAAATTACATCTGCAATACATTATTTGAAAGCAAACACCCTCTAGTTTCTTATATATGAATTAAAATTGGGTGACTAGAACATAGACCAGCCTGCTTCAGTTCAAACATGACTTAAAGTTGTTTTTTTATTCTTGGAAATGATAGGTCTTTTTTGAACAGCAGTTGTTGTGTATTAATCTGCACCAATGATTAGAATAAAATATAGTTTAAAGTTGTTTTCACAAATACTTTTGTAAAACAGACATTCAAGGCCAAGATGAGAGAAGCAGAGCAGTGTGTGTGTGTAACTCTGCACCTGGCCCTGGAAGTTTGGGATCTGCAGGAGAATGCAGGGTACAGGCTCTTTAGTGATAAGAAGCATACTCATTAAAAATGAGTTATTTGACATATCAAGGTTGCCCAGTTCAGATAAGCTTAGCCAAGCTAATTGTGATGAATAGAGTTGTCATCTTCAAAATGCACTGTACAGTACTGGTCCTAGAAAGGGTGATGTTTTACTGGAACAAGGAACGCACAGGTGCCACATGGGTCAGGCTGACCTGGCTTGTAATATTATGGTCCTAAATCACATGGGAAGAGAGGCTTAGTTTTGACATATTTGTGATTAAACTGTCATAAGTTTCTGATTTAAGTGCATCCAGAAGTAGGGATGGGGATCGTTAATATTTATTGATATCGATACCTTTATCGATACTCCTTATCGATCCGAGTCTTTATCGATACCACTATCGATACTTTTCTGTTATTTGGTGGAAAGACGATGCGACAATATGTTTTTAACAGACAGAAAGGAAGTGGGAAAAAAAATTATTTGAAGAAATGTCCTATATTTTGAAGAAAGGTCTTCTTTTGGTTTAAAAAAAATATATACATTTTCACAATTGTTGGTTAATGTATTGTCTACTGTCACTTTTCATCATGTTTTTAGTGATTAGGAAAATATTTAGCAAATAAATAATCATATTCTAAATTAAATGTAATTTTTAATAAATGTTGGCATCAGTAGTTTAATTATATATTCTAAAATAATTAGAGCAATATACAACTGTATTACTCATGTTTCTCGCCAAAAACTCAATTTCCCTTTTCTTTACGTTGCACTTGAACGCATCATGATAACCTAATTGTCGTTTTACTGAGCCAATCTGAACACATCATCACGCAGCACGTCTGAAACTTTGTTTACTTTTCAAGCTAACTAGCTTGTATGCTGCCGATTACAATACGGATTTCACAATTACTATTTTTAACTGACCGGACAAGCTTCAAAGTCTGTGTGCGCGCTTACCAGTGGTACTCTGAGTGGATGATGAAGACGGGTAGACAATGGTGCGGCAGCAGCAGCCGGAGGAGGAGGAGTCTTTTCAACCCGGAGACAGTCGAAGGTACTGCATTTGGCCTTTATTTGATGCACAATATTAATGTGCTTGGCCATTGAGGTTGTGTTCCCCCCTTTAAAAGAGATGATTTTGCAACATAAGTTGCATTTCGCTTCTTCTTTATCTTTGAGTTTGGTAAAATGAAGCCAAACTATAGACCTTTTCGTCCGTTCAGCCATTCTCGAGTCGCAAGCGAAGTTAAGTGCCAGACTTCACTTGTTTTACTTTTAATATCTGTTTGCTTACAATTTCATTCCAAAACATTGGTGGACATGCTGCAGTGATCGGATTGATTAGATTTAAATGCTGTGACGCGACTCGAGACACACACAATTATGTTACAGGACCTCCGGGAGAAAAAAAAAAAAAAACGACCAGACTCGATAGCGGTATCGATAAGCCCAAACGTTATTGATTTTCGGGTTTTGAAAAAAGTGGAACCGGGTCCTTGATGGAACCGGGTTTCGATCCCCATCCCTATCCAGAAGTCATCATGACCTGTGAGACCGCTCTCACAGAAATGTCATAATCATAAGTTACATTGGATGAAAGTTTTGTTTTGACAGGTTGATAATTAAGAAATGATGTGTCTATGATTTAGTAGCAATAAATGTCATCATGATTTGCAAAGAAATGTCACAATAACCTGTAACGAAGACTGTTGATTAAATATATAAAAAATATGCTTTGAAAGGGGTTTTCCACTGATAAGATAAAAATAATTGGTTTTACCCGAAGAAAAACACCTGGAATGATGTAAACAAAGGAAGGGCTTGGGGGAGGAGCCCCAAGCCCAGTGAAATGTATAAAAGAGGGCTGTTTTCACCATTTGTTCAGTTGTTGTTGCTGATGCTCACCGGTGACCAGCTCCGTGTGGATGTGTTGAAATAAACACCCTGGACGTGGACTCAGCTGCCTCTGCCTGATTTTTGGATCTTTGTTTGAGACTTTTTCTGCTTTTTAAGAACTTTGAATTTTTATAAAACCTAGCTTCAATTTTAAGTCGTTAAGAAGAGATAAAAGACGACACAGTAATAAAGACATTCTTGAGAAAAGGCAGGTTTTATTGTTTTATATTTGTTCTACATCATGTGAGCCACAAATGCAGAAAATTTCAGACCTCTAGCTATAACAGTTCCAGAGCTGTGGGGTATGAAACTTTCGGTGTATTCTCATTATCCATACGAAATCGTACGAAAAGTTATGCACAGTATTTCGTACGTTTTTGACGTTTTTTTCTTCGTATTTTTACGTCTTGCCTCGAGACAAGATATCCTTGCGCATGCGCATCTTACACACCATTCAATAACGTAGAATTTAACATACAATTAACCCTAACCCTAAGATACAAAACAGCAAGCAACCTAGTGAGAGACATCATGAAGTAATTATTGCACTGTCGTACCAGTTCAAAAAAATTTTAAAAAATATCCACTGGACTTGGTTTTCAAGATTTGAAGACGTTTCGCCACCTCTCCAGGAAGCTTTCTCAACATTTGAATTGAGAAAGCTTCCTGGAGAGGTGGCGAAACGTCTTCAAATCTTGAAAACCAAGTCCAATGGATATTTTTTAATTTTTTTTTGAATTTTTACGGAATGACTATGACCTGGATGACTGAGAACCTTCATCAGCATGTCGTACCAGTTTTACGTCCGTCCGCGGATCTGCTTTTTTCGTCTGTCTGCATGCGCACTGATGTGTTTTTTCGAAGAAAAACGTCAAAAACGTACGAAATACTGTGCATAACTTTTCGTACGATTTCATAGGAACTGATAATGAGAATATGTTGAAACTTTTGGTGTCAGCTTGGAGAAGTGCGCAATGGCTCCACCTGCTGGTAGAAATTTTACCGTTGGAATTTTATACATTCTGAATTGCTGGCGACCCGGCGAGTTTTAAGGGGTTAAAAGTTAAATTCGTGTTTCAGAAACTTCTTTAATCCAGGCACAGAAATAGAGTCCTTTTTCCCCAATATTTTAATTTTAATTTACTTACATCCAGTTAATAATTAATGCTAATTATAATACTACAGTCAGGGCGAGTGTTTAATACAATACCGGCTGTTTAAAAGGACATAATGAAGCATACTGAGACAGTGGGAAGAAAGAGCAAAAATCAAACTCTAAGGAACCATAAATATAAGTATAAATAATAAATGGGGCTGTTCAATGGCACAGTGGGTAGGCACAGCAAGGAGATCCGGGTTCGATTCCTGGTCCGGCTCTTTCTGCATGAAGTTTGCACGTTCTCCCTGCGGGTTCTCTCCGGGTACTCCGGCTTCCTCCCACAGTCCAAAAACATGACTGTTAGGTTAATTGGCTTCTCTAAATTCTCCTTAGGTGTGAGTGTGTGCGTGAATGCTTGTTTGTCTCTGTGTTGCCCTGCGATGAACTGGAGACCTGTCCAGGATGGACCCCGCTTCTCGCCCGTAAAATGGAAAATGAATGGATAAATGATAAATAGGGGTGGAACGGTTCACAAAATCCACGGTTCGGTTCACGGTTTCGTGGTCACGGTTTTCGGTTCGGTCTATGTTGATTGTTAGCATGACATGTTGGTCGTGTTGCTGTTAGCATAAACAAAACGTGTTGCACAATGCTTGCACACTGTTGCACTTTTATCCCCAACCTTCTTTCCGCCGTCATCGTAGGTCACTCTAAATGCAAAGTGGTCCCATACAGCAGACCTATAAAGTGCTGCTGGCGCGTCTTCCAACTCCAGTTCTTTCCCACTCGCCATACCCACACAATTCTCCACAACAACTGATTTTTTCCTGCTACACCCGGCTACGCCGCTTCGCTTCTTCTTCTTCTTGTTTACTACTGGTGGTTGGCTTTGGTCGCAGTTACGCCACCTTCTGCTCTGGAGTGTAAACGCTTCGCCTATGAGAAAAAGGAGCAGCGCATGAACCGAACGAAACACACGCGAACCGAACCGAGACAGTAGAACCGAGTGGTTCGGACGGTTTTCATAAACTGTTCAATCCCTAATGTTTAATACAATACAGGCTGTTTAAAAGTACATAATGAAGCATACGGAGACAGTGGTAAGAAAGGAAACTACAGCAGAACAAAAATCTAACTCTAAGGAATAGTAAATATCATAATAAATAGGGCTTTTCAGTGGAACAGTGGGTAGCACTGCCGCCGTGCTGCAAGAAGATCCGGGTTCCTGGTCCTGCTCTTTCTGCGTGGAGTTTGCATGTTCTCCCTGTGGGTTCTCTCCGGGTACTCCGGCTTCCTCCCACAGACCAAAAACATGACTGTACGACTAACCCCAGGGTTTAGTCGTACAGTGTGAACTCACAGTTCATGACTTATGTTCGGCCAAAGACTTTTGATGCGATCTGTCTGCTCACACTGTACGTCTAAAAACCAGGTGGGACTCAGCTCAGCAGTGAGATGGCGCACTCGGACTCGTCTATCCTGGAGCCAAACAAGTCCGATTAGCAATATGAAGCTCACTGGAGTGAAACACGCTGCCTTGGTAATTTTGGCAATTTTTTGCTGAAAGCCCTAAAAATAAAAGGCGACGACGTATTTGGAAAAAGACATGGCTGAGCAAACGTGGCTACTATGGTCTGTCAGTTTTACAGAAAGAACTCCATTTCACTCATTCCACCCCTGCCATGATGCTGGGTTTGCATCTGAGAGGAAGAAGAAGAATCCTTGTTTCCACCCAGAGCGATTTTTTCCCACGAAAAAACATGTTTGATTTTCTCCCGACCTCACGATTCCTGATCGGGAGGTGGTCGTGAGAGACTGATCGCCCCTCGTAACCCCCTGTACACTACACGACGCACGATCAGGCTGAAAGTCGGCCCGATCGAAAGATTGGAAAATCGCGTACGCCCGGCTTAAGCTCAGCAGACCGTCTCTCTAACCAGCAGTCTGCAGACTGACCAACTTCATCCATCTCCACTCCACCACCCTGTTCTTTACTCCTGTTCATGCATATCTATCAGAATCCAGCACTATGTTTCCCGCCGAGGTCTGAGCGCCAAAGACAAAGTTATTGTATCGATAAATTTCTTCTAATTGTCTTTTCTCTTTGTGTGAGTTTTTCAGATTGAATGCATTTAGGTTTAAGTTCCAGTATCAGCATTAATGCCTCTAAGGTCATGTTGCACCAAAAGAAATGTGTTTCTTTCCCTCTGAGTGTTTTTCATGAATTTCTTATAGAAGAACTTTTGTTATTTTTCAGGCAAGTTGGTGTTTCTTATTATTACATTGGCATCAATCTATGCCATTAAAATTATCCATAGTTTTTAATGCTCCAAAGGTAATAAGGTCTTATCCTGGATTCCAATATCACTGGAAATGTTGATTTTCAAAGCATTTCACTATGTGATCTATAAAGGAATAAGGTTTTGTGTTTTAAAAGTGTTTTTTTAAGGATATATGTTATTTTATTGAGTTGGAGAGAAAAACTTTCTTATCCTGGAAACAGTCTGATCAATCAATGGGATGAAGGACAAAGAGTTTAACAGGATTAGAGGCAGAAAAGGCGACAGAATCACCCAAAAACAAAATACTGACTGTAAAAAATACATAACATTAAGAAAGTAAGGTTAAAATACATGCAAAAACAGTTTATTTTTCTTTTTTTTTTTACAAAACTGCATATTGATTTTGATTTTAAAATTCAGAGTAAACAGTTTTAGCAGCGAGGTGACAGATGTAATGGATGAATGTGGTGAATCCGTGCAGGATTGTGTGAACAAAGCCAGAGGCCTGTGTGTGCAGCAGAGCTGCTGGCAGCAGTGATGTGTTCGAGCGGCTACCTGCAGATCGGTGCGCCACCATGCTGCTAGCAGCGCTGCACTCCATCCTCACGGTCCGCCTCACTTCATCACGGCGAACTGCGCCGCTTTTCTTAAATCCCAGCCTCGCCGCGGAGCTCCGCCGATACACAGGCGCTGCTCGCGTCTCCCGAAGCCCCAGGAAAACGCTCCAAACCGCACAGTTAACGGCACGTTAGAGGCTGCTTTGTTTCCTTCCGGTTAGCTCTAAAAAGGAAAAGGCGGGCGGCGGGTGTTGATGACGCAGGACGTTCGAACGTGGTTGCCTGGTAACAGAGTCTAATTGAAAACTGCTACAGTCTAAAGATGCGAGATTAGGCGATATTTTAATGCACCTTGGATGAGATTTTGGTTGAAAATTGGTCGATTTTTTTGGTTGAAATATAAAACTAAAAATTCAGGATCAAAAATTAAGATTAGAAAGACTTTTTTTTTTTTTTTTAGATTTTAAGGCACTAGTGGCTCGTTTTTATGGACAGTGGGCTCTGTTCGAAAACCTAGGACGGGTCCTCCAAGGACGCGGTCTACCTAGACTGGATCCTTCGAAGTCTTTGAAAATACGGAGACCGGAAGAGTTTTGGCTGTAAATTCGACCAGGTCTACCCTTCGGCGGGTTTTACCGCCGTATGCTCTGTTGCTTAGCAACCGTGAACGTTGACACACAAAGCAGGAAAGGAATGAATAGAGAAGTTTTCAAAACTGTTTATTTATTTTTTATTGTGAAGTGAACAAAGACTACACTCACAAGAATCCAGAATGGAATAAATGTTCCAACCACCGGGAGCAGGAACAAATAAAATCAAATGTAATGATAGAAACCTTAGTCAGTTAAATAAAATAATAATCAAGTAATTTCGTTGCACCCCTGTGGAGCAATGACAATAAAGAATTCTGATTCTGAAAATGCTGCTGTCATTCTGCACATCTCTGATGCTGCTGCTATTTTCAAATATCCATTACTGTAAAAATGTCCATAGCTGCATATTGGTTATTTATTCCCCAGTTTTATATTAGTAAAACACTTTACAGTATTTTATTGTTTATATTTTAACTCTTCCCTATTATGTTATTCTTATACATTTTTCTAAGGTCCACATTTGTGTGACCATTTTCAATAATCTTTCTGCTGCTGTAAATTTTCCCATTGTGGGAAAATAAAGGGATTTTCTATTCTATTCTATAAAAGGGGTAGAAAGATATAAGTAAATCTAAACAATATATTTATAAAAAATATATCTGCAAAATCTCTAATATTCAACAACAAAAAATACGAAGTTAAGCATATTGTGCCAAATAATAATAAAAAGATAAAAATCCTATCAGATTTATAGTCCCCACCCTGCAAATATATTAGAATCTGTCCTTAAATTACAGCCAAACCCATTTAAACAGTAACAGATAAAAACCTTTAGATAGACCAAACATTACCGCCACATATCTGACTGAGTAACCATTAAAACAACTATTTTCATTCATTTCAGACAGAACTATTCACAGAGTTGTGTTATATTAAACTGAACTTCCAATTTTCACCACTGTTCGGCGCCAAGTAACCTTTCCTCTGATCACAGCTTGCTTGGTCTCGCAATGAATCCTGGGTAAACCAAGGATAGCGAGGATACATCGGACCCGTCCTTCAAATCAGGCAAAAAGAAGGACGCATTTTAAGACCGCATAACGAGGACTCTTGGAATCCGACCAGACCTCGGCGCCGCGCTATGACGTAATCAGCCTTCGAATCCGGTCTTCTAAGGATGCGTCCTAGGTTTTCGAACAGAGCCCTTGATAGAGGGGGAGAGACATGTGGCAAAGGACCAAAGGTCGGATTCAAACCCGGGTCAAACCCGAGGACTAAGGCCTCCATATATGGGTCATGTGCGCCAACCACTGCGCCACGGAAGCACACCCAGAAAGTTTAACCTCACTGGTCAAAAGCGCATGTACTTTCTACGGTGGATAAAAAGAGCCCACCTGCCCCAACACCTTCTCCAGAAGCACCATAGAGAGCGTTCTGACCAGCTGTCTCACTGTGTGGTGTGGAGGCTGCAGCGCCTCAGACTGGAAGAAGGTGAGAACAGCAGAGAGGATCATGGGGGCTCATCTTCCCTCCATTAAAGACATTTCATCCCAGCGCTGCGTGTCCCACGCCCGTGACATCATCAGTGACATGTTCACAATCTTGTAAATTTGCAGGATTTGCAGGATTTTTTTTTTCTCATCAATTTATGTGTTTGTTCTCATAAATCTGCTATTTTTTTCTTCTAAATTTTCTTAGAATCTCTTAAATGTTCCAGCTTTTTCTTGTAAATTTACATTTTTACTCTTGTAAATGTTCTACTTGTTTCCTTCTAAATTTGCATCTCAATAATCTTAAACAAATTGTGTGTTTTTTACTCTAAGATTTTTGTGTTTATTCTAGTTAATTTACCCCTTTAAATTTAAATTATTTTTTTTATTTCATGTTTAAAAGGCCCTGATATGCTGTTGTACATGGGGCCTCCTCTCCCTACAGGTATCTGCAGGGAGTAGCAGGTGACCTATCTAAAACACATCCACCAATCATCCTCCATCTTCCTAAGTCCCTCTTGACAACGATCTACTGAAAACAATTCTTTTGTTGGCTCTCTGTTAATACGTTTACAAAACATTGCAATCTGTCAACACACCAAAATTAGAAATATGAAAAGAATGTAACGTTGCACCATCATTGGTTATATTTCCTTCAAAAGTCTTCAAACGTGGAAATAAAGTTATTTATTTATTTCCTAAATTGAAATATTCATTAAATTTAAGAAAAGAAAAAATCCCAACCTGAAAGTTTTCCTGTTTTTCCTAAAAGAGGATGAATTAAATTCCTGGGAGATGTGGTGTAGATTAATGACCGAGAATGTTCTGAAAATCAGCCAAACCAGACAGAGCAAAGCAGTTGTCCCTGATTTATCGTCACTCACCAAGAAAACCGCAGGATGTTAAAGAACTGAAACGATTGAAGCACCAGGAGGACTGATGTCTGTGGCAGTTTGTAGCTCGGTTTATTAAACAGACAAGACGAACACTCGAGCATCAGACACGGATAAGAAGTCACATGAATCCTCATTAGTCACAAATAATCAAGAGAAACCGAAGAGGCTCTGAATCAAAATCTCAGGAACTTCACTTCTCAGGAGACAATATGTGAAAGATTTCTTTCCTTCTTTTTTTCTACGCTCGCATGATGAAACCTCCGAGCTTTTAGTGTAGCCGTTTGTTTACCTGATAAGATCCCTGAGGAAGAAACAGAAGAGTCTGTTGAGCTCTAAACGACGAAGGTCCGCTCCATCCGAGCAATCGCCGTTTTTACTGTTTTAAATGAAAAGTGCTGTGGAAGAATCACTCTGACTAAATCTAGCAGTTCATCGTGGATCCTAGAAAAACACCAACTAGACAAACAACACATCAAAAATCACTACGAGAGGGAAACTTTGAAAAAAAACGAGCGTTGCTGAAGAGATTTTTCACGATCACATCATTTTCTCCAAATTAGACCTAATCTATTCAGTCATGATGAGTTTAACAGCATTTCATGCAGCTCTAATCTGTTGCTTTAGTTGAAATTATGATTCTAATCTCCAGAACAGTGATTCTATGAAGAGCCGCCGTCCGCTTCTAGGTTATAAATAAAAGGCGTTCCTCTGGGTAGTCCATGAGAGCCTGACGCGACCCTGCAGCAGGAAACGCCCTGTTGGTCTGTTGGACGCAGGGGGAGTATTTTCAGAGAACGCCGGGGCGGATCCGTCACACGGCGGCCATCTTGCTGGCCTCTCTGACGCCACTGAGGTAGGCTCCGGTCACAGTCTGAGGGAAGTGTCGGTTTGTGGCCTGGAGAGGCGACAGGCAAAACTTTACGTTAAAAAAAACCGATGAGAGTGAAAATAAATCAGTGGAGACGCAGCGTTACCTCGCCGGCGAAGAAAACCTTTCCCTGCAAGTCTTCCGCCAGGACGTCGTAGGCCTCTCCGCTGCCCCCCGTCTTCACAAAGCTGTAGGACATCTGGGACCACTCGTCTTTGCTCCAACGTGTCACGAAATAACTCAGAGGATCCGGAACATCCTGTTGAAAAACAAACGACAAACTTCAGGAACATCCAGGAGCTCCAAGGCAAAGCAAGTCCATAACTGATCCTCATCAGAGACAACATCTCTGTGAAAGTGTAGAAGCAGTTTTATTGTCTTATATCAGATCAGAATCAGAAATCAGAATCAGAATATATCCTTAAACATGGCCCTATACTTACTTGGCAACAAAACGGTACATGTTGAAGTTCAAGTATGAGTCTTAGCAATAATAAAGTCTCTAATGCTGTAGAATATAAATATCTGGCTGACTTGCCAAATATGGAAGCAGTTGTACTGCGTTATGTAGTCCTGTTTCTGACCTTATGCTCACTTAGCAACACAGAGCAAGCAGGATGTAAGCAGGGAGTCTACATACTGGGAGTCACGTACGAATCTTGGCAAAAACAGGGTTCTTACTGGCTGACTCGCACGCAATCAGGTCATAAGCTAAGAGATTTCCAGGAAGAGTGTCCAGTCGTGCACGTGCATCCACACAGTGCGATGTGGAAACTATAAATGCCGCCCAGAATGGATTGAAGGTGGGGGATAACAGAATTTTTGACGATGCGTTGCTGGATGTATGAAGTGTTTAAGACAGCTGTATGAATTCGGTTTTGTAATTAAATGTGTCCCCCCTCCAGATGATAAAATGGTGTGAATCGTGGCCTTCTTTCTGTCTTAAGGGAATTCTACCAATGAGCTTCCATAAAAGCAGCAGATCTGGAGGAGCTCATGTAGGTAAGGAATCAGCAAAGACTTTATAGAAGTTAATCTGCCTATTAATCTGGTTATCAGAGCTGAAGTCCATTGTCCTACAGAGAGCAGATTCAGCTCAGGGTCAGAGCCTGACATGCAAAGCTTCTTCTCCCTAAGATAAAATACGCAGCAGGACGTTAGTTTGATCCAACTGAACCAAAAGTCTTCTGCAATAACGTCCTGTTGAGCAGATGAGACCAAAATGTAGATTATTTATGCAGAGGTCTGCATTGAAGGTTAAAGTCGTAGGGAAGTTATATTTAAATGTAAATCATTGTGGCTTAAAGATGTATATAAATGTACTCTATCAGTCCGAAAATGTAGAAAATTTCTGTTTAAAAAAAAAAAAATCCTGTCTTGAAATCGTTATCTGCCTGAACA